AATCCTTATCTAACTAGTATGAGTCACGTGCAGTGCACGGGTAAGAGATATTCACTAATATTTACAAATTAAAAGTTCTTTTTAAGCAATATTTATAAATTAAAAATATAGAATCAATATGTAATACAATTACTTATTCTAATTTATTCAAAATGTTATATAAAGTTTAAATTGTACAAACTTACATAAAGATGTCTATTTAAAATTAGTACAGAACTCATGGTTCACATAACTGGCAAATCACATTATATTCGTTTCAAAATTATTATCACTTCAAAAATTTTATTCAGAAACTCGATTTGATTATAATGTGATTACATAAAATAGTTATTTTGGTAAAATGTCATCATATATTTAACAACCTATGTGAATAATAAGTATAAATATAAAATTTATAGTGTTTCATTACTTAAAATAATCTAATTTTGCATACTATTCAAATAAAAAAATTAAGTAGTTGAGTAATATAATATATTATAAATAATTGACTAGTTTCTTTACGTCCAAGTTGCTATTGACCGGTAAGCTATTGAGTAATTTATTAAACTATAAATAATTGACTATTTTGTTTACGTCCAAGTTAATATTGCCCCAAAAATTATGAATAACTATTTTTTATTTTTAATTTTAAATAAAATACTTTTTATTTTTTTTCAATATATTATATACAAAATTTAAACCATGCAACTAATAAAGGTCATAGCTTCAAGTTTACCTTTACTAATAAAGGTAAACCACAATATTTGACTAAAATAATTCTTTGCATTAATTACATTAACTTAGGTGGTTTATTTCAAATTTTGGCAAAAAAATATTACTCAATATAGTACTACTTTAGGCGGGAAATCAAATAGTTTTTTTTTGTGATTTTTAGTTGCTATTTCAAGTAAATATCATTGTCTCTTTATATATTAATAAATATGTACACAAGATCCAAAACGTATTTAGTTAATAGTTGATAAAGTCAAAATGACATTTAAAAAGAATATGAGGTAGTAGTATTAAGATATTTTTTTTTTAAAATAAGCACCCAATTTTTTAATTTTCAAATATTTGATATTTCTATAAAACTAAATCTTATATTCTTATAGCTTATGCAATAGGAAATTCTATTTACGCTACGTAGTATAAAAACTAAAACGCGACGAATTACATTATAAATATTTTAAAACACTAAAAAGTATACAATTTTAATATGAAT